GAGAGAGAGAGAGAGAGAGAGAGAGGGGGGGGTGGAATATTTACAGAGCAGCAAGTCTTTCAGCCCGTAATGCATCATCCTCGTCATGTATTTTCACTAAATTAATGTCCTTTCTTCTTGTTTTGTGAGTGCGTGAAGTGCACATGACCTTTTTAAGCAAGACCGCCGACATTGCACAGGACCGTGACAAATGTGCCATTTTTCTCTGCGAGATGGGAAAAAGATTGACATTGTTAGGGCCGTTGTCATTGTCATACAAGCGACGCGAACGTTACAAATGACTGACACAAACAATAGACGAACAGGCTGATCGTTGATAACTGATAAGGGCCCGAGCATGACAATTTGGCAGCGCGCACACTTCATCAATGATGCACACAGACCAACACGTTATATAACAACTCCCAGGGCATGACTTGAGAGTGAGAGAGACCGCGACGTTGGAGAGAGACCGCCCACTAGGATTATAATATAATATTATTATCGATGTTTTAAACGGTTTTCATTGGACAATATTGTTTTTATGTAGGTGTGTTTTTCTTTTTACTTGAAAGAGAGACCACCCACTTGGGTTATATTATCGATGTTTTCCACGGTTTTCATTGGACAAGGTTTTTTTATGTAGGCGTTTTTATTTTTACGCTTCCATCAACACAATTTAGACGGAAGGTTTTCCCATTAACTGAAAAGATCAGGAAACGAAAACATGTTTTTCTCGGAATTTTGCGCTAAGAACATTTGTTGAATTTGAACACCCAGCAAACAAATGAGGCAGAAACCATAGGACAAGACCAATATCTGTCCGCTCCACATGACTGATTTCGATAACTGATAATAATACTTGATAAGTTTTTGTAATCGCCGGCTAAGATGATAATAATAATACTATTTGATAAGTTTTTTTGTGACAGCAGACTGATGTGATAATACTTGGTAAGTTTTTGTGATCGCTGGCTGAGATGATAAATAATTAAATGATGTACTTTCATTATCAACAACATATTATGCAATGCGCATTTGTCATTGCCCGACCAATTTTCTTTTTCTTTTTTAAAATCTACAACGAGTGAGGGAAGTGGTTGGAGGGGCATGGGGGG